CATCTTCACGAGATGCTATTTCTCTTTTTTTGTTGTAGTAATATAGGAGCATTCTTCTTAAGCGCTTGCAGAATGCTCCTATATTACTACAACAAAAAAGAGAAATAGCATCTCGTGAAGATGTTATAAAAATTCACTCTTTAATATTGCATCAGTTAAATGCTCCGGTATTTTCACTTATGATTAAATACGCATAATTTGCATCAAAACTGACGAGCGAACGGCCGAGCTTTTTGAATGTTAATGACGTGTGTTTTCCTGTCTTATTATTAAAAACAAAATGTGCTTGCGAAAAAATTGGATTTATAAAGTGTGCTTGGTGTAAGTCAGTTCTATGTTTCACTCGTTTTTTTTTTATTTTAATCACTCTAAAGTTTGTAAAGTTACAGAACAAGACGACGAATAATCGCAATCATTTTATTATAATATTCTTCTTTTGTACGCCTTTTTTATTGTAACCTTTTTTTATACCTATACAAAACTAATAAATCCAATAAATATACATACAATTTTTTTAATATTATGTAAATATATCCCCGCCAATATATATATAATTTTTTATTTATATTTTTTTTATTTTTATATATTTTTATTTTTTTTCTCGGCAACGGTTGAGAAGCGCATTGTCTCCGTACAGCATTTGTCACTTCTATATCAATACTACATTTTAGTAAAATTTCGACAAAATCGGTGACCCCGAGGGTTGACCCTTCCCTTGTGAGAACAATCATATATTTTAACTTTACACAGTAATGTATTTTTATTATTTTTTAAATGTAAAATATATGCATTTTGAATAATAAGATATAATAAACATTAACTTTTTTTTTTCAATCTAAATTTCTCTTTTGTGAAAATTTAATGATGCTTTGTCTATCTTTTCATAATTTTTTAATTTCCATTTAAACAGTTCTATTTAATAATGAGATGTGTTTTGAGAATTTCTTAAAGTAAAATTTATTCAATGTTATTTAAAAATTAAACATTTTTATAGTTGCTTTGGGACTTATTCGAACAATTTTTATTTTTAAATTATCTCTTGCAATAAAATAGTTATTGGTATCTCTATATTTTTGTAAAAAAAAAAAAAAATTAAGTCGAGAGTATTTAAAGAATTTATAGTTAAAAATCAGCTTACATACTTACAGTTTATTTTGATTATTCTGAATTGATAAAATACTAATTATATAACACTAATTATATTCTTTCCTCATACATAGATGTGATTACAGGGATATATTCTTCAAAGGAGGAAATTCAGCTTAAAGCACCTACTGATCTATCACTATTCGAACGTTTGAAAGGATCATTAAAATCATTTCTTAATCGACACATGACTCCACAGGTTTGTTTGGTGTTTTCTTTGTTTAAAGTCTTTAACCACGATTATATTTTATATTTTATAAAACTTGAAACTTAAAACTTAAAAAAACATGAAATTTCTGTGTATTTATAGGCGACAGCTATCGCATCCAATTTGGATATGATGATTCCCGTAATTGAATCACAAGAAAACCAGGAGGACGCTATTGACTTTCATTATTTTCATGCAGATATTGTCAAGGATTCGCTTGGTGGTGAAGTCAGAATTACTGCCGCATCCGAAGCTACGATTATTGTCCTAGAACCTGCCTCTACACCGATAGAGATCTTGTGGCATCAGTTGAAAGAAGTATTTGTCAATCAAATATTTCTCAACACCAAAGTAAACAAAGGTATAAGAATCAGAAGTTTCATCTTGGAAAGCTATTATAATTGGGTTAACAAGGCGCGTGGTGTTACCCAAACGTGGCTTACCCAAACGTCATTATCGTACAAAGTCCGATGGTTCTTAAGCGAGCTACTTGTGGTCGCGCCAAACTCGTCTATTAAAAAGATGGGACAGTTACTGGAACTAAACAAGCAGAAGCTATTAAAACAATATTTACTTACTAACATGGACACTATGGTGCTGAATTTAAAGACCGTAGCTACGAAATTGAAGAGTATGAAATCTGTAAGGCCGGAAATGGAACAGCTGCTAAAAATTTCGGAATCTGGCATCATGCAAGTGGAAAATTATTCGTTCTTACGTCACTTATTAATTGACTTATTTGATGAGGAAGATGAGATTGTCAATCAACATGTCGCCCTTTTGGATCGTATTCACGCAGAGGTCCATACTACATATCAAGAAATATTAATTGATGGAGTGCAGAGGCATCTGGAGAAATCGGGAGTAGAAGATAGCTCGTATTACGACATACTGATCGCCGATTTGCAAAAGAATTTAAAAAATATAGATAAAGGAGAAAATCTACTTGGAAAAACCAAAGAAAATAATTTGGCAGTTGCGGAATTTATTAGCGACAGTAGTGGAGACAAATTAGAACTGGAAAGTAAAAACATTAAAGTCTTGAAAAAAACTAAGGAATCGAGTGCTGAGAAGCTGGAAGATTTCGAATATTTCATATTAACTGAAATAGAAAAAGCTGTCAAATATTCTGATCAAAATATCTTGCAAAGATATGAAGATATAAGCGACGAATCGAAAAACATCGCGGCAGAAAGTAAGAAGGATAAGAATGTCGTCAAATCAGACGAAATGACTCTGCATTCTTCTCAGAATCAGAGCGAAGGCGAAAGCAGAAAGAATAACATTCAAGGTACCATTCAGGAAGATATAGACTTTCTGCGAATAACAAAAGTAGTGGATGCAAAACTCAAAGAAGCCACTAAAGAAAGCAAACGAAAAGAAGAGTCATCTGCGGACTCTGCATCGAGTGATACCGGAAAGATTCATGTTTCTGGCATGTCTGTGGCAACGGATACCTCCGATATAAGGAGAGCGTCTCCCAATAAAAAACATACTTTATTACAAGAATTACAAAAAGACATTAGCGATGTACAGCATAGTTACGAGGCTGATTTAAGAACAAAATCATCTAATAGAAGAGATCCAGTTGAAAGCAAAGTTATATCCACTGGTTTATTGAAAGACTTTGAAAAGCCTGTGTGGGCTGTTAACGACGAAGAAGTACTTGAAAAAAAATCAGAAATTACAGATATGCTACATAGTACCACGGTATCCAATAAAGTAAAATACGATGAGAAAAGGTCTACGAGTGAAGATAAAGTTAAGGAAGCTAAACCAAAATCGTGTAGAGCTAAACATATCGATGATGAATTATAACAATAGCTTTAAAATTTAGACTAAATTGTACGTATTATGCAAAAACAGAATTCCCAACGGCCGCAAGGCTACGGCATTACAACTGATATTTTTGCATTGTGATCTAGATGTGCGTATAGTCAATTTTAATTGACACTTATGTACAAGGTGGGACATTTAGAGCCAGTTCCACAAACGTCGGTTAACTCTTAACCTCAGGTTAACTTATCCTTTGTTTCTTTCTAACGTCTCCCTTAGAAAGAGACGAAGAGTAAGTTAACCTAAGGTTAAGAGTTAACCGACGTTTGTGGAACTGGTCCTTAGAGTGTTACAAGCTGTTATCTCTGAAAGTGGGGCACTTTAAGTGCCCTACTCTGTATCTATAATCTATACAATACAAGAGGTATTCTAGAAAGATTATACCGACCTATCCGATAAGAAAAGTAATACTGTCAGATTATACTGCTACTATATTATAACTATAAGGAATCTGTGGATTCTAAATTGGTGCTTACAAGAAAATCTATTGCACGTTGTTACTCGAAAAAAGATATTTGTGGAATATATAGGTATCATGGACATTACCTGTATGACACACGTGTGTTAAACTGGTTGTGAGGATGTATTCCAAGTAAGGCGCTAATTCGTGTACATTTTGTGTATTATAGTATAATATTCTATATGCTGAAATACAATATCAGCAAAGTTCTTTCTTCCATGAAAGCAGTCCTGATGAATCTATTCTGCAGTTTGTATTATACACGTGCAAATGTTATTCTATAACTGTATCATACAATTGTAAATCTAAAGAGTAATAGCACTGATAATTCCGTGGTGTGAGAGTATACCGTATCATGAATAGGAAGAACGAAGACGCGTTATTATCCTTCTTTTGACATTATTTTTACTCCAAAGATGTGCCATGATTAATGATAATGTATTCATCGTATCATACAGTTTAATATTTTATGCAACACGTGCATGGAAAGTGCCCCATTACGCACGCTACGCGTGCGTGATAGACCACTTTCCAGGCACTTGCAACATAAAATAGGGAGTGTAAGCCGTGTGTAAAGATGAAAATTCCCGGG